TTACGCGAGCAGATATAACTTTGGAGCCTTTCTCTTTGTTCTTTATTGCTATAGTATATGATGAGCTTTTAGAGTGACCGATAACTAATAAAAAAAGAAACGAAACTTTGTTAATTAGAAGAGGTTAATTTTTTGCCGATTTTCTTCATATATTAATCTATCCATATTTGCTCACATCGATAGAGAACTGATAATGTTTATAACAAATTCCCCAAATTAAAAAAAAAAACAAAAAAACGTTGTAGATGACAAATATTTAACAATATGAAATGAACTTAGTCTATATTTAATTTAAAAGTTTTTCAAACAAATAAACAAAATAATTTTCCAAAATGGAAAAGCACCACAAAGAAAGTGTTGTCTGATAATTTTTCTTTTGACTTTGTCACAGACGACAAATAAAAGAATCTAAAATGGGATTGCTGCTTACATGTTGAATGCACATGCCCTGTTATATGTTACTGTTCGGTTTGTTTCCATCATATAATTCACCACTGAACCGAAAACTGAATTCAGTGAACGTAGAGTTTTATCGAGTGCATTCATTTAGAAAAGACGGAGATTGAACCCGTGTTTGCAAATTTCAATGCTCTATTCGGCATCGTTCAAGCGACATGCTTATGACGTTGCCTTAACTGGTTATGCGATCGTATCAGCATCTCAGGGAGGGAAATCATAGATCTAAGATCTTATCAGACTTTGATGTTAACGGTTGGAAGGGAAGGGAATAATTATTGTATGCGTGGGTTAGGAGGAGTAATGTGTTCTAAGAAGTATATCTTTGTTGACAGAAGAGTGACCCATATATCCGGTAGATGGAGGGGTTAACTAAATATGACTTAATGGGTGTAGATATAATAGATAAGAGGGCACCAAAAACAAGAAAGATAAACAATAGAAATGGGAAGAAGGAGAGTAACGTAATGTAAGTATAATTAGGATAATAAATAAGAGGGAGAGAAGCAAAAGTCAGTTTCAGGGAAGAACGAGAATGGGAAGCAAAGGATCGGCAAGAAAGAAAAAAAAGGACAAAGAAAACCGTCAACAGATGAAAGGGAAAAAACTTAAAGAAACGGTAATAGAAGAGAGAATGAAATTTGCTTAAAAGAAAGAAAAGAAAGCGAAAGGCCTGAGATGGAAACGATGATGCGCGTGAAGAACGAATGAAAACCGAAGACAGAAAATCTAGAAGAAAATGGTAACTGAATATCTTAATGAATATAGAACAAAAATCAGTAATGAAGGAGCTTGTTCTGCACAAAGAATTTGAAAATATGTACGTGTTATTGAATATTCCTTTTTTAAAGAAAATTAAAAAGGATAGATTTTGCAATGCAATGACCTACGGCGATTATCTTCTTTTCCGACAAATCCATGAATACATTTTCAGTCCGTGAGATTCCGACTTACCTGCTTCAAAAAGGTTAAAATAATAACGATCTTTAGTGATGGGCTTCGTTAGCTTTTTTTGTCGTGAATACATAACTTCAAGCACCGTGGGTGGTGGTATCTGATTGGACGATTCAACAGAAATGCGCATGAAGCTAACTTATACCCAACCTACTGAGTCAGTCTTCTCCATGCTACTCATGTTCATGTCGGTTTAAAATGAACTAACAATCAGAAAAAATGTCGAAATTCGTGAATTCATTCATGAAAACTGTCATCGAAACTTTCCAAAGCCACTTCATATATATATATAACACCTGCTTACTTTAAATGGGTAGCGTTAAGTGTACCTGTGCTTTTAGCAATTTCTACAAGTCTATCGATTGTTCAGATTTGCATTATTGAATTTAATGTTAGCTATGCTGTCTTATTGTCTATAAAAGGATAATTCTTCATAGAGCCGTTCCTTTAAGGAAACAAGACAATATCTCTATATCTAATTTCTCCTTGTGACATGAAAAAAGAAAGTATTAGTTGAATACAGTCTTCATACATTTCGGGAAACACATGTTGATTCCAGTAAAAAATCTGTTAATTTGCGACGGTTGCTCCTAATGCTAATATCCATTGGTGTAAGTGAATTATTCATTTGTTGTTTTGTGTTAGGATTCTTGAACCAATTTTGATTCAAGCCGTCCTGTCAAAAAAGCCTTACTTGTTTCATGATTCTTTTATAATCATGAAACAAGTAATTTTAACCGAAGTCCATTAGATGATTTATTTAAATATAATATAATAGTAAATCTGAATATTTTCGGCACATTTGCCTTGAAATTGCATGTAATTTTTCACTAATGCCAACGGTGTATCCGTGACCGAAAAAGTTATTAAAGAAATAAATGAACTGAAGATAGACACAAGATGACAAACAACAAGCAAAAGAATATTGAAAGAATTAAATAAAAATTGATATATGAAATGATATATAAGTAAAGGAACAAAAACATTGGAAGTGAAAATTATGCCTTATATTTACAGAAATAAAAATGTTATTTTTCTACCTGCCTAAGTCTAAACGGTGTACGTGAAGCGTTTTAAATTCTTTCAAAAAACATGACTATACTTTCGTTACAAGTTTTCTGCGGTGGGTCCTTTAATGGAGTCAGTCACCACGAAAAACTTCTGCGCATTCAGTAACAAAATATAATGTCCACGCCTAACTTTCGACAACTTTACGATATTTATTTATACTTAGCAATGAACGACAGAAAAAGAAATGGAAGTTACTCGAGGCAACGGCACAAGTGAAATGTTTTTTAACAAACTTCATAAAGATGTTGTTATTAAGTTTGTTTGCCGGCAAGTTATAAGTATTGGGCATCCAAGAAAGATCGAAATCACGACTCACGTTAACCATTACTCAACCATGGGGTATCCAAATTCAAAAGATGTTGGAGATTATAATATTTTTTTAAAAACAGGATTATATAGAAAGTAAATTGTTTTTTTTCATCGTTAGTGTGTAAATATATGAATTTGTTACCTCAGTTTCGAAATCACAACGATAAACAAAAATAGTTTCCAGATGCTATTCGTTATTTTCTTATCAGTTTTAAAGAAGGCAAATAGCTTTATTGTATTTAAATAAAGTCTTTAAATTGCTTGTCATTTATTAAGTTCTGTACTGAAGTATTTTCATTCTTCTATAATTACCACTGCTTTTGCTAGTTTTAACATGGTGATTTGGTTGATACATTTTTCGGTCTCCCCTAATTATCCTTTAAAATTCGCCTCGCGCTTGTCTTCATTTTCATTTCTTCAATTCGAACAGGGATTGTCAAACTATAGTTTGATAACGTGTTAAATTTACCATGGTCACATAATATAGAATAGCCTATTATTATGAAATAAGAATTATATAATTTTTGTGTATATTTAAAAAAAATGTCTTTAGTTTATGTATGACTAAGATCTCGCGATCTTCAATTTTAAGTGATTGACATGCAGTTCAATAACATGTTGAAAGGCAAACAAGAGAACATTTTGACTTTTGCAAATGCTTCCCAGATACTTTAACATCTTTTTTGACTTGGCATTAATTTCAGCATTTGACATCACATATTCATATGAGAAGACATTTTCAAAGATAATCAAACTAAATGTATATCGGGGTCGTCTTAATCGATCAATAATTGCAGTCAGTTTTGTTGATAGAAAGCACACAATTTGAACCGTGTGACTTGGTTTTATCGTTGAAAAAAAAAAAAAACTTTACATCATTCACGGCTCATCTCCAATACTACCGCTAAAACAATTTCTTTATTCATAACGAGGAATATTAAATTAAGTAATCATTAATTAAAAAAATTAGAGAGAAAAAATTCTCAATCAAAACATTTGTGAATTCTAAGGAAAAATTATCTATTTTAAAAATTAATTATAAATAAACTCTCTCTCGAACAAAGAATTGATGAGCAGGACTAATTGAATTCCATTGATTTTACTACGCTTTTCATACGTGAGGAATAATTTAGTGATAAAATGATTTAGTAATCTTCTGACCGGCCTGATATTTCGAAAGTGGTACAAGTTTTGCAAAGAAACAGATATACATATAGAGGGATCTATAAGATTATATATCCGTCAACTGTGACGACACAGAATACTATGCAAAAACCAACATACATTCATTTTCTTTAAGCTACTTCTATGAGTGAGTGCATAGATGTGCATAGATGTGCATACACGTGTTACTGTAATTTTCTATGCATGCCAGTTCATGCACAAGTATTTATTCACCGGGGATTATACAAAAAACGAATGTAAAACAAATACATGGTAGCGAACCACTGGGGCCTCTCCCATTAATCACTCAGGATATAACTTGAAATATTTCGACCACTTGTCCGAAAGTCCATAACTTCAACCACTATGCATAAGCGCTTTTCATACAGTTTCCTTGCTTTCTTCATAAAAAGCTTGACTATAAATGATAGGAAATAGATTCTTGTTTAAATAACACTTCTTTTAATTCCTGTTCAATTATTTTTTATATCATAAAATAGAAGTGAAAATAATTTTATTTTTTGCTAATTGGAATAAAACTTACATTTTGATTAAAATACAAAAATATTTTTATACAGATATTACAAAAGATAATAACTTTCTTCTTATGTGACTTTATTTTCTCCCTAAATCGTTTCTTATTCAGTTCTCTTAAGATTAACAAGAAGCACAGCGTTTAAATTTTCCAGCAATGTATGCTGCTGCTGCTGCTAATATTAATAAAAAGTAAATATTTCACTCGCTGTTGTTGTTCTCAAACTTTTACAGATGGAAGCGTGCACATTTTCCCGACGCAAATGAAATAGTTCTTGAAAATGGAAATATTTTGATATCTAAAGACATTAGCTTGGGTTTTTTCTACCTATTCACATCATGCGTTTATACAAAATGCATATTCATTGATTTAACACTAGAGAAGATAGTGTTTGATCAACCAGTAAAAAGGTATTTTCGCAGGATTCTTATTTTTAGAAAAAAAAAAGATAATATTTGTCAAATAAAGAAAATAATTATGAATAGAATAAATATGTAAATTTAACACTTACAGTCTTTCCGTTTCCGGGGGTATATCTGATGGCACGGTTTTTAGGCCTCGGAAGCTACAATCCACCGACACTCCGATACAGGCACACCTTTGGGGGCAATTCTGCCCTGTGCTGAACCCATTGTGTAAGCGAGAACCCAGGTTGTAACGGGCATGAACAGTGGAAGTTCCCAACAACAGGCAAGCGGTTAAAACGTGGAGCCAAATCATTAAAATGCCGCTACGGCGCCGTCCAAAAGGGGCTATAAATAAAGAGACGGACCCTCGGGCCTGGTGTGACACGGAAGTACTGAAAAGTGATTCTAGTTCCCACAAGGGAAACCCACAATCATTGTTTTGATTGAGCGTCTGAAGCTGGCGCTCGTGGTGGAGGCGCTGGTGAAACAGCCAGCACAAAAGCGCCGTAGTCAGCGTAAAAAGGAATGCTGACGTAGCGACGCCAGTGACACCGCTGATGACGCCACATAACGCTACGATGACAGCCAAGCGTTCGTTGCCAGGCATAGTCAGCATCATAGGGCTACGTTGCTTTGTCGTTACGGTGTTTTGCGTTAACGTTTTGTTGTGGTGGGGCTTCTCGTCCACAGTTAATGCCACATCGTTGGTAGCGTCGATTTCGTTCAAGTCGAAATTGAAACTTACTTTTACTTTCTCTTTGCCCAATGTCTCTGCTCTCTCACTCTTTATATTCGCTTCTTCTTCGTGTTGTTGATCCATGTTTGCCGCGTTTCTTTTATTCGTTTGCCTTTCTTTGCTTCCTTTTTCGTATCGTTCTTTTCTTTCTTCTCTTCCGACTCCTTTCTCTTCACTTTTTTCTTTTTCTGTCTCTCGATTGTTTTTTGCTTGACCGTTTTCAACAGACTCGCCACGCTCGACCCGAGCAAACAACATACAGTGATCGTGATCGTGATCGTTTTCTTTTTGTATCCGTCGTTCGGGCAATCCCTCGCTGTTTGTGTTTGTGTTAGACTCAGCCGTCAAGTCCAGCAGTGGAGAGCTCAATTCGCAAACCAGTTCGGGCAAAATGTTGCCTGCGTCCTTCTGGGTGTCGCCGCCACCTCCTCCAACTCCGAGGTCTTTCTCCCCTCGCGCACACAACGCTATTTCTGTTTCTGCTGCTGCTGCTAACGTAAAAATGCTCATCTTCTTCCTCGTCATGAGCCGCATCTTCGCCGGTATCGCCTCTGCCTCCGCCAGCACCGCCCTCCTCGCAATCTGGGCTGTCGGCTTCTTCTTCTTCTTTCGCCTTCTCTTCTTCTTCTTCTTCCTTATTACTGCGACTGCGGCTGCCGCCGCCGTCGTAAAACCTGTATTTGTAGTAGTAGTTGTTTTTGTTATAGTATTTGTTGCAATAGTAGTATTATTTATTGTAGTTGTTGTAATAATATTGAAGGTGCTCGACGTTTTTACTGGAGTTATTAGAAGGGGTGCTGTTAAAGCTGAACTTGTAGTTATCGTAGTAATAAGGTTTGCCTTTGCGCAGGCTTTCGGTGAGTTTGGCCGTGCCACCCTGATTGTCATCAAAGGCTGTGACAGAGACTGGATCCTGCTTGTTATTGCCGTAGGTGGTACTAGTAATTGTGTGAAATCCCTATGCGCCCCACCCTTTCCTCTGCTTGTCTCTTGCCTGCCGTCGTCAGTGTCGTAATGAGAAATATTCTAAATGTTACGGCTGACAGATCCGAAGGGTGTTACAATACCAGAACTGTATGAATCCAGTTGTTGCAGGTGTAGTTATACTTACGGTTTGCGACACTTAAAGTGTTTTTCTTGCTGTTGCTGTGATTACTGATGTCGGTGATGTTACTGATGAAGGGCTTATACAACTGCCGGCGGGCCTCGTAAACGTGATGCTTCGATGGTGGTTTTAGGGTTATTACTGATCACATTTACTTCTGGAGTTGCCCCAGCTTCAATGGAAATGTTTGGTGGTATCTATGGTATTACTGTAGTCGAAGGGAGCGATAGAGGTCTGGCGGGCAACGGCGGGAAGCGATGTCGTCGTGGTCGTAGTGCCACTTTACCGCGCCACAGATCGGCGGGTTTCCCTCCGCAGTTGTAAACGCTGTCGAGAGCGAAGCGGCCGCCTCTGAATACGGTAATATTAATGTCACTGTTGTCGGTGTCGGAGTGGGGAGAAAACCAGGAACTGGGGCCTGGAAGGCGGTGGCGACAACGACGGTGAAGACAAGAGCGGAGGCAGGGCTGGTATTTTTATTGGAGGAAGACGAAAAGAAGGCTATGTCGGCACTTGGAGAAGCGAAGAGATGCCACTAGCTTCGGCTTTGGTGCCAGCAGTAGATGGAGGCTGAGAATGAAGACGGGGGGATCTGTAGCATAAGAAAGGAGACAAGTAGTTGTAATTGTTTTATTTCTTTTTTTTTTTTTTACAGTAGTAGTAGTAGGAGTAGCAGTAATTGTTGTTGTTATCAATGTTATTGTTGTTATAGGGAAGTTTGAATGAATGGGAATTCTCCTTTTACGTCCCAGACCTGGAGTCGCTGATGGCGAGTGCGTGTTTATTGTTGTTGTTGTTGTTGTTGTTGTTGTTGACCGCGTCGATAACAGGGATATCCAATATTCTTTCCTTGGCGTATAACAATTTCAAATATTCCCTGGAAGGATTGCAAGAAAAAATATGATTAAGTGATAGAGAAAGAAATTAACGAGAAAATGCATAAAGCGTACATACATACATATGAACAAGTTTTATCAATTTACATTCGTTTACATGTGTGTGTGCGCGCGCACAAAGAAGATGGTGCTGAAAAGTGCTAAGCCCGATTCAGTTTCCAAACTGATCAAGTGACCAAACATCAGATATTGGGGTGGGGGCTAGACAGGGAAGGAATTCTTGGTCGGGCTGAGAACCTTTCAGCGACCCTCGTGTGTATGTGTGTATTCAGCAGTATTCATATAATCAGAATTGCTAAGCAAAAAATAGTGGTATACATTTATTCGCCTTTAGCATAGGAAGATTTACACAGATGTCTGCATCCGCACGTTACTCGTAAATAATAAACGAGAGTGCACAAAAGGATTCAGAATCATAAAACACATTCAGAAATACATGCAATTAGTCATTTATATACAATAAACACACGAATTCAACATTCACTCTAATAAAGTTAACGAAATTGAAAGTTTCACACATAAATACTATACACACACACACACACACATATATAATTTATGACAAAATAGAAACAATTATTCTTATATATATATATATATATATATATATATATATATATATATATATATATATATATATATAGTGTGTGGTGTGTGTGTATATTCGTAAGACAAATCACAAAAATAGAAAAGATATACGTATATAGATTTCAAAACTTTGCACTTATATCAAATAACAAACTCAACCCTGGATTTAGACGCATCTTTGTATGTATGTGCACAAAGACATACTTATATTCCTACAAATACTCTCATTAAAGCATTCAAATACAACACGAATAGAAACACACACACACACACACACACACACACATATATATATATATATATATATATATATATATATATACAAGTTTTCATAAGATATAAATATGAACAGCTTTATATTATTGTTAAAAATTAGAAACAGGTATTTTTGTATACGTTCGTTTAAGGCTAATGTTTTTTAGATTGAAAATAAAAGTTTTAACTGGTACACGCATATACACATATATTTGGGTGGGTCTATGCAAATGTAACATCGAAATTTTACTTACACAAAGAAATCACTGAAACAGATAAATATAACAGAGCTGCAGAGATATTCATGTCTACACGGATCCATGCAAAAAAAAAAAAACCAATACGCCTGCCTGCATGCATGCTGATTAAGCAAGCATACGATCAGCCACGCGTGTGCGACCACGGACAAGCGTTGGGACACGACTTCATCTCATTAAAAGAGCTAAACGATTGTCGATAAACGCATAAAATATTCTGCGCTCTCCTATTTACAAAAATTCTTATCCAGTTTGGGTAGAATTTAAGTTTTCACTTATTTAGATCTATTTAATTATTTGATAAGCATTTTTTAACAAATTCTTTCTATCATTAAAAAAATCCCGATGAAAAAGATTACGTTTTCCCTTTAGGTTGTAGGTGATCATGGCTCTCTACTGCTTCCTTTCTGTGAATTGCCGTGACTGTATTGGAAAAAAATAATAGTGATTTTCTCCAAAGTTTTGTCTTTTTACTTGGGTGATTACCGGCCCCAATCTGTTCTGCTATTTAACACACATATGAGGGAAGAAAAAATGCATGCCTTTCCCAGGGAAATAGGTGCAACAGTAGGAATTTGAACACGCCTTACTGCTTCCTTTTTCTGCAGTGATATTGTTTATTTATTGGCACATAATAATTTATTAATAATTAAGTTTTCTTACCTTTTTTTTTTATCTTGGACAAAGCTTCAAAAGTTTTAAATAACGTTTATTAAGCAAGGCCCACCTGGGTATAATTATAAAATACATCCGACAACAACGGGGGTTTGAGGAGCGTTGAACTATCTCTTAATTGTTATTGTACCCAGGTTCACCCTGACCCAGGGTTGTAGCACCTGTTAGGGTCCCAGTGGTGGGAAAATAGTGAACCTTCAAACAAAAACTAAACACTATGAAAATGTGAAAATATTTTTTTATTGTAAAAATTCCAGCAATAGTAAAAAAAAAAAAAATTACCAAATCTCCCAAGAAAATTTAATTTCTGCACTAAATGACCAATAAGGAGTTGATATGTCGTTAAACAAACAAACCACAAGTAAGGCAATAAAGCCACTAAGACACAAGGGATTGCTGGTTGTGGAAGAATTAAAAAATAGAAACATTACTAAGGAACGCGAACAAGAGAGCAGTAATGAGGAGGACAGTAGATAGCGATTGATATTACATTTAAATCTTTGTAGATTAAAGTTGGCTAGAAAACGTGGAGCCAGAAGGGTCTGATATTTTACGAGACAAATGACATTGTTTCTGACAATTAGAGTTAAAACATCAACAATATTAATTATAGGAGATGAATTTAAAACCTGCCATAATTAACACATTCGCGATTTGACAGAAACTAAAAAAAACAATACTTTGTCCAGTATTTTCTTGACGAATTGTCGGTCTTTTGCAAAACTGAGCGTTTTAGATTTTAAAGACCATATTACAATAAATAAAGGGGGCAATATTAGGTGCTTGCTGATTGAGTGATTGATGTCTACTCGTAATGGACAGCCAACGTTCAAAGAAAAATTTGTTGCCTGACAATGTCGATGCTGTTCAAAAATATCGGAACAAAATAGATATTAGCCATCGGAATTTCTTTTTCATTTATTTATAAATTGCTTTTTAAGTTGAATCTTAAATATATTAATTCACGGCGTTTATTTTTAATTGGTTCTTCAATGTCTGTTTTAAGAAAAATTGATATAAACTTGAATTTTGATCTGGTTTTTACCTGATTTCTTTGTTCTCTAGCCTTTTCGCAAATGTTTAGCATGTGCAATACTACGCGTGTATAGCGACCAACGGAAAGTTGCCACTGTATTCCTGTATATACTATTTTTACGACTTTAAAATAGTTACTATTAGTAAACATAGTATACAATTTTTACGACTTTAAAATAGTTACACGCTATCCTATGGAAGATGATTAGCGGAATGTTGGTGCGTTTCGCGTATGCAATCATAGGGAAGTTTTCAAGTGTTCAAGTGAATAAAAAATGAAAATATCTTTCTGATAAGTGAATATTTATAACTTTCTGATAAGTGAATATTTATTTTTTCGTTCGTTTGTTTGTCAATGCCACACCAATATTTACAGATTTTAGCTGACTTACTGGCATTTCACTTACAATCACTTTACCGCTTAAGTATGTTAAATAAACTCACCGAGTCTTGGTAGATTGTTTTTATTTATCGTGTATAATCGCACATTGGTTAATATTTAAACTATTCTTTGGCCTCAAAATACTCATTAAATAGTAAATATAATGGCGGTAAGTTTCCTTCGAAATGTCAAGGTTTTTTTTTTTTTTTATAAAGCTGAACAGTATGGTTAATATGGCGTTAAAATTGATCTCTGTTGGTTCTGGATGGAAATATATTTCATTTCTTCATATAAATTTGTGCTGATTCGAGTTATTGATTCAGCACCGGTGAATAAACAGCCTTAACTAAGCTACACCTGCAGTGATAACTGTTTCAAAATGAACTTCCATTTGGAAAATCCACCATTCACATGCTTCAGTAATCAAAGTGTTAATGGGCAAAACGGATGCCTTTTTCTCAACACAAAGAATCCCATGCGGTTAGGGGTCTGCCTATACATTAACGGATAGTTATATTTCATTTTGTTGTTGCTGAGAGAAATCTTATTTTGTTCCTCTTTGCTTAGGTTACTATTTAAATCATTAGATTTATGAATAAAATATAAATGTAAAATATCTCTAATTTAATCAACAACAAAGTTTATCGGTATTTATTGATAGTATAGTATAGTCTGGCACAAGGCTAAAGTAGTGGGACACCTAATGAGGACGACCTGTCGTGGTTTACTAGGTTAATACATGTATCGTATTGCTTAAGAACGTGGGCGATCATGGGGATCATGTTAGTCCTTTTACTATCTATTCTACTCCCTGTTCATTTATACAAGGTCGTTGCTTGCTCTTTCCTAATATGTCCTGGGAATGTTCAATTCTCCAAGCCTTCTTTCATCATTATGTGTCCTAGAAATTTCACTTGCCTCTTTCTGATTCTAAATATGTCTTTTTCTTATTTACAATTCTGTAAAACTTCCTTGTTACATACATATTTTTCCCATTATATTTTCAACTTCCTTCTACAGAACCAGAAAAATTTCTAGTATTTACTGCTATATAAGAGAACGGTTATTACATAGCAGTTGAGTACTATTTTCTTTGTTTCTAACGAAATTTTCCGTCGTCTTTTATTTTGTCCTTATTGATTATAGCTTGGAGGAAATGTTTTGTATTGTAGCTTTTAATATTTACTGCCGTGGCAGTTGTATTTGAAAACATTTCTAAGGATTGTGAAATGAACGTTGAGCACTAAAAATAAATGTCACATTCGAAAGATTAAGAAGCAAAAAGTTTCTCCCTTTTTGGATAATTTCGTTCAGACAGAATTTTTTCTATTCAATTCTACCATCACTAAATATTACATTCATGTAATGTTTATTAATCTTTCAAAACTTTAGAAAGTAATTTAAAGCGAAAACATTTAGTCCTATTTGTTCTTTACTTGATATTTTCGAAGTCTTCATCATAAGAATTTTTCAAGTATTTAGACATTTTCTAAGAGTAAATGGCTGAGTATATCCATAAATAGAATATATAGAATCATGACTGTGTATAAAAAAAACCCCTAAAAACTCGTTCACAGCTAGAAATTTAGAAAATTTCAAACGGTGAAATTTACGTAGAAAATTTTACATTCGAAAATTTAGCATATATAATAAGCGTTGATAAAATCTATATTCTGTAATAGTTAAAGTATTCTTTGTTCCGAAGAACGAAGAATTGCGAAATTCTTACTTGACTTCCGATAAGTATCGTGAAGCAATATTTTTGGTACAATAATTATTTCTCTGTTAT